TCCCTACAGTCTCCCCAAACTTGACTGTTATCACTTTTTTTTTTTCTAACTTGATAGAGATAAACAGAATCTCATTATTATTGCTTGATTTAAGTCTGAAGGCCTCTTTTATAACAGCATGTAATTAGGGCTGTTGAACTTAGGATGGGAAGTTTCATAGCCAAGCCTGGGTGGATGGGCGCTTGCCCACTTCCTTGAAAGGCACTCACTCCCGGAGTCATTTTCCATCTGAGAGTCCCTGTCTTCCCATCTCTCACATAGAGCAGAAATCCCTGCCACCCTCTCCTGCCATTCTCTGAAGCCTCATTAGCAGTGCCAGGAGAGGGGTGATGTTCACAGTTGTGAAATGGTACAAAAATTTAAGAGATGGGGCGTTCACAAAAGATCTGCAAAATCTTGTGAGCAAAAGTCACGGTCTCTTTCCATCTCTCTGGCTCTTGAGACGAAAAAACTCCAGCTGTTTTCAGCAAGAGTGGATGTGAAGATTAGGCCACTGGGCCTCAGCCCAGGTGCTGCAAGGACAGATCTGATACGTGGGTCTGTGGCCCGGCTCCCAGGTGGGTGTCACCTAGGTATCTTTCAGAGAGTTCTCGAGGATAAAACCAACCAAGAAGAGTTTCCAACAGGGAGGGTGCACCTGGACCTTGGTATAAATTCATTTCTGTTTTTTTCCCCCTTTTAGATCTGCCTGCCCCTGGCTGAGCTACAAACATCGCTCCATCAGGGACAGCCTGGGTTCTGGTTCCGACTCTGCCCCTAATTAGCTGGGAGACTTTCAGTTTCTTTAGGCTTCTCTTTCCTCATTAGTAAAACTAGTGAGTTAGATTAGAAGGTCTCTGTGGCCTCTTTCATGGAACTGTTGGATCTTAGAGCTGCCGGGGCCTCATGGAATTCATGGAGAGGAAGCCCGAGGGCCAGAAAACAGGGGACCCAACTCACCTGTGTCTGCAGAGACACCTCTCAGAGGGCCACCCCCTTGGGTTTGACTCACAAGTCCACTGAGTTACAGGGGGGCAAGTGCTTTTGAGGTTGGACCCTTGTATTCAACAGCAAGTAATTTCATTCACTTTAACACAAACATTCGTTTTTCAGACTTTAAGCTCTTCAGGGCCTAAAAACCCAGGCCTTGCCCAAAGAAATCCACCAAGCTATTCAGTCTCAGTTTTAAAAAGCATCTTCAATTTTTTAGGGTGGATGCTTTAAACGTTCGTTTGGGTGGATATTAGAACTCATGGGGGAGGGTAGGTAGCATTCGGTGTTTGTATAGGGAGAATGAGTAAGGAATTGGGGGTGGGGGCGTGTGCTCCAGGATTGGATATGAAATGGATCTGAATAAAATGAAAAATCTCTCCCTCTTAACTCAAGTTTGAAAGGCTTACAGTTTTAATGGGCTGTCTGCTCCTGTGCAGATCCTGGTGCTAAGAAACCATGGAGTGCTTGCTCTGGGTGACACAGTAGAGGAGGCGTTTTATAAGATCTTCCACCTGCAGGCTGCATGTGAGATACAGGTGAGCAAGTTCCTCTGGGGTGTGGGCCCGGGAGGGACCCTGACAGGGGCCTGGGGGCAAAGGTGGCAGCCCCATGGGCCGTGATTTAGGGAGACCTTTGAGTGGGGCCCTCTGAAAGCCTCACCCTATTTCTCTGCCTTGGCACCACGTGATTCTTCTAAAGTTTCACATTTGGAATCGGTTTTGTAGCTTTAAAATTTTCTACCGCCATTGTCTCACAACCAGCACCCGACTCTTGGGGCTCAGTGCTCAGGAGGGGGAGCTGCCTGGGCTCATCAGAAGGACAGTGGGAGGAGCTGTACTTCCCATGCTCCTGTATAACCTGGGGTGTACCTGTTACCTCTAGCTGTGCCCCCACAGACACCACACAGGTAAGTCTTCTTTCCTTTCTTTGTATGGAGAAGGGTAGTTTGCAAAGACCATGAATGTGGTCAAGTCCAGCAAGAGAAGTGGAAAGCAGGCCAAAGTAGAGTGTTGACACGGCAGGCCTGACCCCAGGGAAGCCCCAGGGTGATGTCCAGGGAGCCCATGGTGAAGTTCTCCTAACTGGTAAAGGATGAGATAGAGGGTGGTGGGGGGGGGGTGTCAGTAGTCGTGGGACCCCTAGAAGAGTTGATGGAGAAGCAATAGGAAAATGCACATCCTGTAGTTTTATCAAATAACCAGGTAGTGTTGGATAAGCCAAGCATATGCTCCTGCCAGTGTGGCAAGCCGTCAGGTGAGTGGGGGGGGTCTTGCACGACTGACTGGGCTCCATCCTTCAGCCTGCGCTCTGTGCTCTTGGGTCAGGCACTTGCCCTCTGCAAGCCTCCATTTCCTCAATCTCAGACCTGGGTCTAGAGAGACCTTGTGAGGATGGCCTTTCAGACAAGGAGAGGTGTTGCCGATGGTATTTTTAGGACTCGGTTGACAGAGGGAGAGGCTAGCTGCTCCAGGGTGAGTCGGCTCTTTGCAGGGCCCTTCTGGTGTCCCATCTGCCCTCTCCTGGCTGGCCTGGGAAGAGCAGTGCCCCAGGAAGACGGCCCGCCCCTCTCTTGGCCGTTATGGGGGAAGAATGGGATAATCCCAGAAGCATCACTAGTGGAGGCTCTACAAGTGGGACCTTTCTCAGTGGTTTATGAAGGATATGTTGAGAGGACAGTGATGAAGAAATGTTAGAGGAGGTGGTGTGAGACCCTCCTGACTCCCCATCCCCCATCCAATAATGCTGACCCTGAACTCTGACCCCTGAGTGTTGTTAGAACCTGGCAGAGCCTCTGATATGCCTACTTTCCCTTCTCCACATCTGAAGAGTTGCCCATCTTTCTTCTGAAGAAGAGGCTTCCATGAGAAAATATCTCATGAAAAAGAATGAATAGAGAGAGGTTCTCAGATGTCCCCCCACCACACGGTGGTGTGAAGGATGCCTTCCCCAGGCTCCAGATCCCCAGAAATGGCCACTGCGCAATTTAAGCAAAGGGAGGATGGCCATCTAGCAGCTGGGGAGATGAAGGGCAGAGCTGCCAGCCACTTTCCTGGGCAGCCCCAGCTGCTTCTCTTGGCCCTGTCTGCTGTCACTTTCTTTTCAGTCAGGACTGGTTTGGTGTAACCTTTTAAAAGCGCATCAGGCGATGGGGACAGATAACCCCAGGGAAGCGCCAGTGGATTTATTTTAGCAGGTGGAACAGGAAGGCTTCTAGAGGGTGAAATGAAGCTGGAAGTTGTGGGAAAAAAACAGGAGAGATTGGACCAAGAGTGTGGGTGGATTAAGGCTCGGAAGAGCCCAGGTACGGCAGGCTGGCAAAGAGGGTGGGGGCTTCGACGGACCAAGGGTGTGGGTGGATTAAGGCTCGGAAGACCCCAGGTACGGCAGCCTGCAGATGCTGTTGGGACTGCAGTCCCTGGAAGGGTCATTTCTGGTCAAATGACCAGCACCGAAATTCTGTTTCCATCATGACTAGTGTTCTCCCTCAGTGGCCTTGGCAAACAAGCAAATGCGTCCATGGTCATTTCAGCGGTTCAAGGCTAAGAGCCTATTCCATTCTCCTGGGGACAGCGTTCTCTTTGCTCCCCATCAGTTTGGGGTTCCAGGAAACTGGGTCATCCTCTGCTGAGAGAGGCAGCTCCCTGCTCTGTTCATAGGCAGATGAGAAGCAGCTCAGGCAATTCTCCATCTGCTACCCATCGCCATGGAAACGGATGGGGGAAGGGGGAGGTGAGAGGAGGCAGCTCTTGAAAGGGTGTGGGCAGTTTTCTCTGAAAGACCAGTCTCCAGGGGGTATTGCTTCTCAGCCTTTCATGGTAAAACCTCAGAATTTATTTATCATAAATGTTTCTATGGCACTCTGTATGCACCAGGTGCTGTTCTAAGTGGTTTACAAATATTACCTTAAATAATCCTCACGAGGTAGATACTATTTTCATTTTACAGATGAGAAAGCTGAGGCACAGGGAGGGTAAATAGCTGCCGAAAGTCACACAGCAAGTAGGTGGCAGAGCCAGGATCCAAACCCAGACAGCCTGGTACCCAGGTCCTATGTCCTAAACACTGCATTGCACTGCCTCTCAGGAAAGCAAGCGTCGGTGGGAAAGGTCAGCTGTCAGGTTGGGACCTCTCTTCAGGGAGCTGGCACTTCAAGTCAGGGTTTCAGGGTCCCAGAGCTGGAGCCCTGCCTTGGCCAGGTAGGGGTCCAGGATGAACTTGGTAATTGATCAACCAGCTGAGATTCACTACCTTTGAGAGTGCGTTTCCAGGTGCTCAGCCTCAGTGCCAGGTGTGAGGGACTTCAGAATTAGAAAACACGGTCAGCAGAAGGCAGAACTGGGACCAGTGAATGAACATAATAAAAAGGTAGATTTCAACTCAGGGTAATCTATATCAACTCACTGTAACCCTTCTAACATTTGGACAACAGTATAATAGGCTGCCTTCCCAGGCACGGAGCTGACCACTTCTAGGGATACTAGACAAGGACTCATTTTTGGTGAGAGAATGGAATAAAAGGCCTCGAAGTCTCTATATTTGTAGGGTGTGGAGTCATCTTTTTAAGATAAAAATGGAGGCTTCCATAGGACACATGCCTTGGATGAAGGGAGCGTGGAAGTGCTTGTTCTTGCTTTCTCCTCGTCACGGAGTGATGGGGGTCACCTTGGAAAGGCTGCCTGGCTGACCTCTAGGAAGTCTCACAGGGGCCACATGTTACACTGGTGAATTTAACACGCTCTGGAGTGTGTCCAGGATCCTCATGTGTTCATAGACCTGTGTTTGTCAGCAAGCTACCCTGCATTCTTTTCATTTTCAGTGAAACCATAACTGGCACAAAAACTGGAACACTGAAAGTTTATATAATCAGAGCCATTCCCCCATAACAAGCAGGTTTCCATGGGATATCAAATATTAATCAGAATGCTGGGGTCTTGATGTGCAGTGTAAAACTCCAGCTTCACTACCTACAGTACTTGGAAAGCACCATCTCTCTCTGGACTTACCCAGGAAGCCAAACCATGACCAATTATATCTGAGTGGCAGATACAGGGAGTAAATAGAATGTGCTTTTAGATGAGCATGGAATTAGAAAATAAGATTAGTTGGATTCATGAATGTTTTTAGGATCGTTCTAAAATTGCCTGCTTTATACACACACCACTTGCCCTAAAAGTCAGAGTCCGTTGCCTGTAGCCACCTGGATTGTCCCCTCCCCGTGGAGCCTTGACAGTGGGACAAACGCTGTAAGTCTTCTGGTAAAAGCTTCCTAAGGCCTACACAGTGCCCGGCTGTGACTGTCAGCATTTCATGTGTCTCCTCTCTCTGGGCTTCCTTGACTGGCTAACACCATCATGGATGGTCTTCTGCCTTTAGACCTGTTAATTCAGCCCAACATGCGGCTACACTCATATTTCACTGGCCTAGAAGGCAGCTTATTTCTTTCAAGTGACTTTTTTTTTTTTTTTTTAAAGGGAAATATTCCAGACATACAGAAAAGTGCAGAGGGTCATATAATCGACACCTGCTACCAACCAGATTTAACAAGTATCAATGGCATTTTCCTCTGGAAGAAGTAAAATATTACAGACAAGAATTGAAGTCCCCTTTTCTCATCTTCCCTCCTTCCCCAGAAATAATCACAATTTGCGGTTGGTCTGTGTCCCAGGTAATTTTTCAGTACTCTGCATTGTGTTATTCTTAAGGTTTAACACTTGCTATGTCCCCCTAAGAACTGACATTAGGAAAGAAATACTAATACCGCTTTCCCTGGAAATGGGCACATGCCCTACAAGTTTGGAGGGGCTTTCCTCTGGGAGGAAAAAAACCAACTACAGCTCAGTTTTCCAGACATTTCTGTTTCTGGTCTTCCCCGATCTCCATTCTCTGTTACACAGAGGAGCACAGGTACACGCGCAGGGATGTGTGTGTACACGCGCACACACGTGTGTGTGAGCTGAGCGTTCTCTGCCCTTTGCGCAGGTGTCTGCTCTGTCCAGCGCGGGGGGCGTGGAGAACCTCATCCTCCTGGAGCAGGAGAAGCACCGGCCTCACGAGGTGGGCTCCGTGCAGTGGGCGGGGAGCACCTTCGGGCCCATGCAGAAGAGCCGGCTGGGGGAGCACGAGTTCGAGGCCCTCATGAGGATGCTGGACAATCTGGTGAGTCTCCTGCCGTTGTCCTCCCAGGCCAGTCCTTTGTGGCTTAGCTCCCCCCAAACCAGTCAGTATGAAGCATTCGGTGGGCGTGAGAACTGCCAACATCACAGTTAATTTGTTAAAGCCCCTTGATCGGCCACTTGACTTAGAATTTGTGGTCATTCTAATAGTAGTTGAGTTTTCTCAAGTGGTGGCCTTTGCCACCCCTTTTCCAAGCGCTGTGGATGTTATCATATCTGCAGGGTGCTCTTTAGAGAAGGGGTAGGAAGCCCTTGGTTGGTATGAGAGGTGGTAATCCAGCAAAACTCAGGACCACAGAGCCTCTCTCATATTGTAGCTTTTGTTCACTCCTCTTTTGCAGTTAGTTCTGCCTTTCTTTCTAATCTCATGACTTTAACGCAGAAAACACATAATGCCATTAATTTCCCTGTTCCTGGTGAGCAGCATTATAACAATATCCTTTTGTAACGAATGAATCAATCCATCAGGTAGGGCGTTAACTGGTATATGTCCAGGAGTGGGCTTTAAAGGATCCAAAGAATTATAAGACGTCCTTCCTTCTGGAGCTAACAATTTAATTGATGATATATGACGTAAATGTGAGACAATTCAAGAATAAGAAGAAAGCATATACAGTGGGGAGCTAATTGCAGGAAGAGACTCTGACTTCTTAGATTGCTCGAACAAGCGAAGATGAAACCTACCTCTGTGGCATTTCTGTATCATTTACCTCCCCTCCCCGTCACTGCTACTACTTTGGACCCTCTCTTTGCTGTGTCTGGGTCATTGCAATAATCAATCCTTTTCTTCTGCCCTCAGTTCCTCCAAATCACTTCCACTTTATTACCAGGCTGAGCATGAGGGTCACTTTATAATGGTGAAAGGTACACTCCACAATGAAAGTACAACTCCTGTTAACATGTGTGTGAGTAACTATGCCTAAATAAAGCACCAGGACCAAGTGGTTTCGTGCAGAAATTCTTTCAGACCTTTAAGAGACAGGCTATTCTTATGCCATTTAAACTGTTGCAGATAAGAGTAAAAGAAGGAAACCAAACCATAACAATTATAACACATTCAGACCAATCTCACTTTGAGTTGATGAAAAATGCTGCATGAAAACTAGCAAATAGTATCCAGTATAACATTAGAATAATAATACACAATAACCAAGTGAGGGCTCATTCCTAGTATTGAAGGATGGTTTAATATTATGAATCTTTTACATATATTTCATGATATCAATGAGTCAAAAATATAAACCTTCTGATCTCACTTTGAGATCAAAAGTTATTTGATAAAAAATTAATATTGATTTATAAAAATAATAGCTGTTAAGTAGGATAGGAAGCCATTTATTTAACATGATTAAAATGATTTTTTTCTCAAAACACGCACCAGTATCATGGTGAAACACTAGAAGAATTTCCATTAAATTTTGAAACAAAACAATGAAAATATAATGAGAAAATAATCCTATTTGCAAATGCAGCAAAATCAAACTTTAAGCAGAACCCCTTTAAAGACAACTGTAAAATTTTACCAATAGACATCAGAGAAAACCTGAAATCAGTGAAGAGCTATAATTTATTCTTGGTTAAAAACTTCAGTAAGGTAACTTTTCCAAATTAATCGATAAACTCAATGTAATTTCCTCAAAAGTGGGGGAAGGTATAAGGACTGAGCAAAATGTTCTTTCAAGTGAAATTCAGAATGGCTCAGAAAATCCTATAAAAAGAAGAGTGGGGCTTCCCTGGTGGCGCAGTGGTTGAGAGTCCGCCTGCCGATGCAGGGGACACGGGTTAGTGCCCCGGTCCGGGAAGATCCCACATGCTGCGGAGCGGCTGGGCCCGTGAGCCGTGGCCGCTGAGCCTGCGCGTCCGGAGCCTGTGCTCCACAATGGGAGAGGCCACAGCAGTGAGAGGCCCACGTACCGCAAAAAAAAAAAAAAAAAAAAAAGAAAGAAAAGAAGAGTGATTACCACCACATGGTAAAGTGTGATAAGGCTTGAGTCACTAAAGGGTGGAGCACTAGTCCAGAATGCACAGGCCAATCAATGCTACAGCTTAGAGAATCCAGAAATAGATCCCGAATGCATGAAAATTTAACACAGGATAAACAGCCATCTTATAAATCTGTGGGAAGAAGATAGACTGTTAGCCATTTGGGAAATAAAACTAAGGTGGATTACTACCTTGTGCTTTCAACAAGATAAATCCCTGATTTGTCAAAAATTTAAACATGGAAAGGAAATTGATATAGGTATTTAAAAACATAGATTAATAGTTTTAATGCTCTTGTGTTGGGAAAGACCTTGTCAAGCATGGCAGGAAAGTCTGAATTCGTGATGCCAAATATTAACAGATATGACTACATTAAAATTCAAAATTTGTATTTTTATAAACCACCCCACCCACCATGTGAACAAAGCTAAAAGACAAAGTATGGGGAAAATATTTGCAACATCTGTGACAGTCAAAAGATTCATATCAGTCTTCCCTGGTGGCGCAGTGGTTGAGAGTCCGCCTGCCGATGCAGGGGACACGGGTTTGTGCCACATGCCGCGGAGCGGCTGGGCCCGTGAGCCATGGCTGCTGAGCCTGCGCATCGGAGCCTGTGCTCCATAGCGGGAGAGGCCACAACAGTGAGAGGCCTGCGTACCGCAAAAAAAACAAAAACAAAAACAACAGATTCATATCTTTACTGTAAAAGGAGGTATTACAAATCAATATGAAAAAGATGACCATCACAATAGAAAAATGAACTGAGAACCCAGTTTACAAAGGAAGATATTCAAGAGGCCATTAAGTGTAATTAAAAATATCCAGTCTTACTAGTAATCCAAAAAATAACAAAACAAAAGTAGAGGATATTACTTTTAACCCATCTGATTGCCAAGGATTGTTTTTAAACCTCATCAATATTCAGTGTGGGGAAAGGAGACGAGAACTGGGAACTCCAGCATAATTGGCCGGAGTGTAAATTGGCCCAGTGTTTTGGGAAGACGGCATGATAAATATATAAAAACTTATACTGTGTTCCCTTCGACTCAGTCATTTTCATTACTAGGCACTTAATTGCCTAAAGAAAAATGTGTAAAGATTCTCATTTCAGGGTTGTTTATAATATTTTGAAAATAAGTGTCCACTGGTAATGGTTAGATAAATTATGATATGTCCATTCACTGGCATATTATGTAGTTGTTTAAAGGTTGCTGTGTATTTATAGGTTCAATAACATGAAAAAAACTCCAAGACACATTGATAAGCTAAAAGCAGCTTATAAAGCTGATTATGTAGCATTATTATTTACAATAGCCAAGGTATGGAAGCAACCTAAGTGTCCACTGATGGAAAAATGGATAAAGAAAATGTGGTACTTATATATGATAGGATATTCAGCCATAAAAAGGTTGAAAGTCTTACCATTTGCAACAATATGGAGGGACCTTGAGGGGATTATGCTAAGTGAAATAAGTCAGAGAGAGAAAGACAAATACTGTATGATCTCATTTATATGTGGAATTGAAAAAAAACCCTCAAAAACCAAAAATCAAAAAATTCATACTCATAGATACAGAGAACAGATTGGTAGCTGCCAGGTGGGAGGCAGAGAGAAATGGGTACAGGGGTCAAAAGGTGCAAACTTCCATATATAAAATAAGTAATCCTGGGGATGTAATGTACAGCATGGTGACAATAGTTATTAATACTGTATTATATATTTGAAAGTTGCTAAAAGTAGATCTTAAAAGTTCTCATCACAAGAAAAAGAATTGTAACTATGAGAGGTGCTGGATGTTAATTAGACTTGTGGTAATCATTTCACAATACATACAAATTTTTTTTAATTGAGGTATAGTTGATTTACAATGTGTTAATTTCAGGTGTACAGCAAAGTGATTCAGTTACACATATAATACATACAGATATTGAATCTCTATGTTGTACACCTGAAACTAATGTAAAGTTACATGTCAATTATATCTCAATTTTTTTTAAAGCTGCTTATGTGGTACAGTCCATTTATATACTGTTTTATATATATTATATGATGCATTAATTATGTAGTCTGTATATTTACATACATGCATTTGTATATGTGTGTTTAGAGAGATGACTGAAAGGATTTTTAGTGGTTGTCTCTGGGGATGAGATTTTGCATAAAACCCACTTTTTCCTTATGTTTTTTATATTGCTTAATTTTTCTACATGGCTCTGTACTTTTTTTGTAATCCACTTTCTCTTTTTTTCGGTACGCGGGCCTCTCACTGTTGTGGCCTCTCCCGTTGCGGAGCACAGGCTCCGGACTTGCAGGCTCAGCGGCCGTGGCTCATGGGCCCAGCCGCTCCTCGGCATGTGGGATCTTCCCGGACCGGGGCAGGAGCCCGTGTCCCCTGCATCGGCAGGCAGACTCTCAACCACCGCGCCACCAGGGACGCCCCAATCCACTTTCTTTTTAATGCCACTTGAATTTTTAAAAAGATGACAGGCAGAGCCGAGAATTGCTCCAGCAGCTGTTAAGATTTCCGAGTGTTCATTCTGAGTAACAGTCCACCTTTGGGGGACATGGTCTTGTTTAGGAGACAGGGATGTTCTTAAATCAGAGTTAGGGCTCCCAAGAGAAAAATAGTCAAGAAGCCTCAGAGCCGAGGAAGGGAGGGCTACTGTTAGAATCAGCTGGGAAACTTTTTAAAATCCTGTAACCCAGATGCACCACTGTCCAATGAAATGGGAAACTCTGAGGTGAGCCCAGGCATCCACATTTTTAAGGCTCCCGCATGATTCTGTTATGTTGAGAACTACTGGACCAGACCAAAAGCTGGAGCTCTGTCTGGTCCACAAGATTCTGGGGACTTTCTCATCCCTGATCAGAGGGCTTGTTGGGGTGGAGGAGGGGAGGGTTTGGGGGACCAAGACAGGGAACAATTCTGAAATACACCAAAGGTGCGGCAAGGCCTGGGTTGTATTACAGAGATTTGGGGTTAAACGGAGTCCTTTAGATGGAAGGGGGTAAAGCGTGTGAGCGGGCGAGCAGGCATGTAACTGACCATTTTTCCCATCACATGTGGTTCTATTTTTGTCCTTTTTAGGGTTACAGAACAGGCTACACCTACCGCTACCCCTTTGTTCAAGAGAAAACCAAACACAAAAGTGAGGTGGAGATTCCAGCCACGGTCACAGCCTTCGTGTTTGAGGAGGATGGCACCCCAGTGCCCGCCCTGAGGCAACACGCCCAGAAGCAGCAGAAGGAGAAGACCCGCTGGCTCAACACGCCCAACACCTACCTGCGGGTCAACGTGGCCGACGAGGTCCAGAGGAGCATGGGTAGCCCCCGGCCAAAGACCACGGTAAGGAGGGCAGGGGGGGCTCCGCTGGGGAGATTGGGGTGGAAGGAGAGTGCCCGGCTACCTGTGTGGGCTAAGCCACTTTAAAAGGGAAACAGCAAACGTCCCGTGGGCCAGCAGTAGTCCTGTCTCCCGTTAAGGCTTCCTATTGGGCATCTGGGAGCAGCTTCTCATGCCTACGGAGCAGATCACCTGTTTCTTGCACCCCTATGCTGAGGTTTTGGTCCAGAGGGTGGCTGGACCAGGTCACTCCCAGCAGCATGAAAGCTTTTTGCTCCCATATCTGGAAGGGGCTTCTGGGAAATTCAAGGGAGGGGTAGCCAACATTTGAACTGACCATCTGATGCAAAACCAGAAGGTGCATGGGGTACTTGCTTCTATTACGTTGTCCACTCCCTTTATAACCCTCTTCTGTAGAGAGTGCTTGCTTTAGACATTAGATGTGTGAGACCTGCCCACAGATTGAGTTTTTACAAACTGTATGCTCTTTTCCTCTCTCTCCCTCATCACACACCCTGGCTCTTAATTTGATTTTCACTAACAAAGTAGATGGCAGCCAAATAGAATAGCTCTTCGTTAAAAAAAAAAAAAAAAAAAAAAAAAACCCCCTTAACATCCATGAGTCATCTAATACTACAACACCAGTGGCTGCCTGTCTGTCAAAGCTGGCACCACGGCTCTGTCCCTCCTCTTAAGTGTTCTTTATGGCCATTGATCTGGGGCCTTTCTTTGGTTGCTGGGTCATTTGCTGCCCATCTCTGCTCTGGGAGACAGACATCAAAGAGGCCCAAGAGGAGGGAACGTGTTTGTCTAGGCTTGCTGACTTGCACGTAGGCTGGTCGGCCCAGATCTCATGGGGTGGACCACTAGGGTGGATGGTGAGCCATATGCCTTTGCCTTACCCACCGGGCCTTGTGTGTGTTCAGTGGATGAAGGCCGACGAGGTGGAGAAATCCAGCAGTGGCATGCCCATACGGATCGAAAACCCAAACCAATTTGTGCCTCTGTATACTGACCCCCAAGAAGTGCTGGACATGCGCAACAAGGTAAGGTGATAGCTAATTACCTCCCATCTTTTCTCCCTCAAGGGCGTGGGGGGGGGTCCCCAGGATGCACCTGACTTACCAACATCCCAGATGCCTCTTATGGAAAAGAAACTACCATTTATTGGCCATATTCCAGGCACAGTGCTAAGCGCTGTGCTTTTGTAGTCCTGTGTAACCCTCAAATAGAGAGGTGCTAGCTTTAGACATTAGATGTGTCTAAGAGACCAGCCCGCAAATCGAATTTTTACAAATTTTATGCTATTTCCCTTTGGCTCATTTTCAAGATTGCAAAATCCTTTGTGTTTATTTCTCTACCTTTGCTTTACAGTTCACTCACTTATATTTCTAATGTTACTTTAAAAACTTAACTTTTAACAGACCACCTTCAGTAGGTCGGGTATGTTCCCAGAACAGTGTTTCAGTGTGTGGTCCTCTGAAGGGCAGATTCCTGGGTCACTCCCACCCCTCCTCCCATGGGACTGAGATTCAATATGCACGGGGTGGCCCCCCCAGGAATCTGTAGTTTAAACCAATTCCTCAGGGACTTCATAGGAATATTACAAATTGAGAATCTCCCTCAAGGATCTACTATGCCTCATTTCCCTCTTCATCTCAATGACCTGCTCATGGTTAATGAGAATCTGGTGTTCTACATAAACTTTTCATTCACTCCGGAGCAGACGTGGAGACAGACTGTCTCAGAGTGGACGTGATGCGTTACATCTGCACCCCTGGGCGGCCTTTCTAGTGTGCCCTGGGGATGCTCCCTGCCAACTCCACACCCTGATGCTGGACAGCTACCTCACTCTCTCCATCCCTTTCTACACAGATTCGAGAACAAAACCGACAGGATGTGAAGTCGGCGGGGCCTCAGTCCCAGCTGCTGGCGAGTGTGATCGCTGAGAAGAGCCGAAGCCCGGTACAGCAGACGCTGCCCTTGTCTGGAGGGGAAACGTGTTTGCCTTCTGGGTCTGCAGTGCCTGGGGCCGGGCAGCAGGACCCCTGAGTCCTTATATGCCCGCCTTCCCCTGTGATCTTGGGCACTGGTGTTCTTTCTGCAAAATGGATGCTGTGAGGACTGGGGACAGTGTCTCATCGCCCCCCATGGGCGCTAGGCAGGGGAGAAGCAGCCCAGCCTGCCCACGGGAGTGATGCGGCTTCTATGCCTCCCCCAGGGAACTCCCCTCTGCCCTCTGTCAGTCCCACAGAGTGACCTCTCGGGAGCGCGGCTGGCCTCTCCCAGCAGCTCTAGGCCTGGCTGCCCCGAGCGGCTCTGGCCTCTGTGCGTGGAAACAGCACCGTCAGGCCGTAGCTCTGGGAAGATGCTCACAGGCTCTCAGAGGGTAGACGTGTATATAAGGACTGGTACTCCTACAGGATGGGAAGGGGCAGTGAGTTGCCCACACAAACACACGTAGAGTTAGAAAATATAAAGTTGTTCCCCTGCTTGAGATAGAACAGTTTTTGTTTAGTGCTTTTAGCAAAAGGGGTGAACGTCAACTTCTGGCTTCTGTTGGAAATCATTGCTGCTCATTGCAGAGTAGCAGTGGCATCTTCCTTAGCAGTAAGGGCGGGGGCAGGGGATACAGGGACCATTCCTCTCTGCGGAGCAAACTGAGGTGATGTCATGATTGAAGATCAGGCTGCAACCCACCAGGTGGGTGCCCCTTGGCCGGGGAAGTGTGAAGGTTATGTCATCGCCTCCACCCCACCTCAGCTGAGCCAAGACGAGGAACATCAAACGTGCTACAGGGTCAAGGATAGAAATACCCCACGATAACGGGGGGGGGGGGGGGGGGGGGGTAAATACTATGATAAACATTGTTAAAAACTCTGCCATTTATACCGAGTGCTCTCCTTGGAGTCCCTCTTCTTGGGATCCTGGTCTTGGACTCTTTTGAACCCCATGATTCCTTAAGATAGGCCCAGTGCTGCCTTCTTTTGGAAGGAGCCCTTGGGCCCATCATCAGAAGACTTGATGAGCCAGAGACAGATGGCCTGGAGTGTGTGGTGTGGGCCAGCTGCCCAGGCTCACACCCCCGACACACACACTTTCTTTGGCTCCTTGGCTCCAGAGCACTGAATTCCCAAAGGCCGAGATGAGGTTGCTGAGTTAGGATAAAGGACTATGGAGTCTGAGCTGTCCCGAGCTAGAGGGATCAAAGGATTCCCAAAGCTTACACAAGGCCCAGCTGGTGAGCTCCCCAGAGCCAGGGGCTCCCCAGAGGGGGTGAAACACAGTGATTTTGCCAATGTCCCTTCAGGGACCTACAGTACAGGCGGGTTGAATATCAAAGGTTCAGGACCTTGGCCCCCTTGTTATTTATGACTGTGTGCAAAACAGGACTAACAGTTTGGACTGAGAATGCCAAAGCCACTGTGTGTTTTGCATATGACTTACTGCTAGGTGCTGTGGCTTGTGCTGCTGGTGCGGGATGGTGGGGTGCATGGTGGGGAGCGGCTGGCGTGGCACTGGTTGAGCCAATGCTTTGCATGCTGGGTTTTGGCTGACTGACTGTGGGCCGCCAGCTGTATTTGCACAGTGACGGCTTGCAAGCGTCCACAGTAGAGATCGCAATAAAGCTGTGTCTTCCTTCTGCTTGGGAGCATTCTTTGATTTTATTTCTGGGGCAGAGGGAGGACCCCCTGCGTTCATCCAGGCAGTTACAAAGAAGCCGGGTCTGGGGGGTGAGGTGTAGCCGTGGGACGGAGTGAACAACCCCTACCCCGAGGCCCCGAGCTGTTGCCATGGAGCTGCATGCCACGCTGTCGCTAGCAAGACCAGTGGCAGCCCCATAAGTCTGAAAGGAAGCTCAGGCCTGGGCCCCGACTGCGGCGTTCAGAGAGCGACACACCCTGTGGTTAACTTTCAGTCCACAGAGAGCCAGCTGATGTCCCGGGGCGAGGCGGATACCAAAGACGAGGCCGAGGAGATAGCACCCAACCCCTTTAGCCAACTCACGGATCAGGAGCTGGAAGAGTACAAGAAAGAGGTGGAGAGGAAGAAGCTAGAACTCGATGGTAAATAACCCCCGAGTTGGTGCTTCAGGACCTCCCAGGCGGAGGGGAGAGCTCGGGGCACCCAGAGAGGCAGCAGAGCAAACCATGGTCCTCACTCCCTGCCAGCAGCCCTGGACCCCCTCCCTTGCTGCCTGCCAGGGCCCCCAGGGCTCAATCCAGCCTTGTCTCGCTTTCCTTTTCAATCTTCATTTGCTTCTCTCTGTCTCTTCTCTGTTATGTCCTCACTTTGACCTTCCTGCTCCATCAGCAAATAATATTTTTTTTTTTTTTTTTTTTTTTTTTTTTTTTTCAGTACGCTGGCCTCTCACTGCTGTGGCCTCTCCCGTTGCGGAGCACAGGCTCCGGACGCGCAGGCTCAGCGGCCATGGCTCACGGCCTAGTTGACTTCCTTCCTTCCCTTCCCAACTTTTGTGTGATCTTCTAGAAAAAATTTTGCGGTACGCGGGCCTCTCACTGTTGTGGCCTCTCCCGTTGCGGAGCACAGGCTCCGGACGCGCAGGCTCAGCGGCCATGGCTCACGGGCCCAGCCGCTCCGCGGCATGTGGGATCTTCCCGGACCGGGGCACGAACCCGTGTCTCCCACATCAGCAGGCGGACCCTCAACCATTGCGCCACCAGGGAAGCCCAGCAAATAATATTCTTATCAGCATGATTTTGTTAATCACAACAATGCCCCTCATGGCTTGTGCCTGACAGTTACACGGTGCTGCCGCCATGACCCCACTGACCCTCTCACCTGGGAATAAGGAGTTAATCCGTGAGGAGTGCTTAGGATAGTGCCTGTCAATATGGCCTAGGTCAGTAGATACCAGACAAATGTTAGCTGTAATAATATGTTCATTATAATAGTGATCGTAATTACTGATGATCTATCAGATGTGGTATAAACCGCTTAGCCTGGCAATAAGAACTGAGTCCTTTATGTCAGAATCTCAGTCGAGCCCATCTCTCCATGCTGACTCCTAAGTAGTCATACTCTTGATAGCTTGTTCATGCCTTTGTCCCTTCCTGACAGAGTTTCTCTTCTTGGCTAGCCTGATTCAGTATTATCTACACTTCGGCCTCTGTGGTAAACCCCCTCCAGCCAGGAAGCCCTCTCTGTGCCCCACATGGAGCTGTCCCTTCTCTTTGCTTCAAGTGCACTTGGGGTCTGAGACACAGAATTCAGCTCTTGGTTTTGTCCACCAGGCAAGGCTTTCATTCCCTCAGGGCAGGGCCCCCTTCCACAGCCCCCGTCCTCACCCAGAGTCAGCCATCTTCCTATGAACAAAGGCACTAGAAGAATCCTCGCTGGTTTTCTTGGAGTTAGCTTGCTTGGAGTTCTCGGTGCCAATCGAAAAAGTAGATAGAAAAATATGGTGCTCTTTGTCTCTAGAGATTGTTTGGACCGGACATGTAAATTAGACAAATAATCAATAAGCTACATGCAAACAAATCGTGGGCGGGGGTTCCCCTGCAGTCTTGCTGTCCACATCAGGGGTAACAAAGTCCATCCAAAGAGGTCCTGTGATGGAGGAAACGGACTCCGACTCCTCCTGACTCCTCCCATTTACCTCCCCTAGGATGTAGCAGAATTTTTTTTTTAAAGTTAGCGGAAGCAGCTAACTCCAGCCGGGAGAAATGAGGACCAAGCCGAAGAAAGCAGTTGTTTTAAAGCACTCTCGGTCTGCCCACCTCTCCTCTCCTTGACCTCTGTCCTGAGCTGGCTTTCTGTATTTTCAGGAGAGAAAGAACCTGCCCCTGAGGAGCCTGGCTCACCTGTAAAGTCTGCACCTGCTTCTCCAGCTCAGAGCCCAGCCGCGTCAGAGACGAAGAGCCCCGTGGGCTCTCCCTCCAAGTCTGTGGACGGTGAGTCGAGCTGAGCATCCGGGAGGGAGGAGGCGCCTCCGCAGGCCGAGAAAGGGGTCTGCATAGAGGGTGGGCAGGTATGCACTGCAGGGCACCTGCCTTTCAACAGGTGCTGCCCTCCTACGGGAGACTCTCCCCTCTGCTGTTTCTAGGGAACCTGAAACAGGGGTTACCAACTTTAAGCTTGTTCCGTTCACAAGCTGTGACAATACACCTTACAGGTTAAGCCGAGTCTAAGCAATGCTGAGTAAGTTAATGATTGACCCACAGCCTTCTCATTTCTCACTCAGGCCAGGTTGGCTGATGTGCCTTTCTAGACGCACCAGCCCAGTGCTCAGACTTTAATGTGCACAGGGATCGCCTAGGGATCTTTTTAAAATGAAGATTAAAATGTTAAAATGAAGACACAGTAGGTCTGGGGTGGGACCTGAGACCCTGCATTTCTGGCAAGCCCCCAGGTGAGGCTGATGGTGTCATTCTCAACCTTGGCTGTACATCGGGATCATCTGGGGAGCTTTACAATCCCTGACGCCTGCCGGGGTCCCACCCCAGCGGTTTCTTAGTTCAGTGGTCTAGGAGTGGGCATGAGGGAGTGCAGCCTGGAGTTGTAAGATCTCTCCAGGTGAATCTAATGTGTAGCGCAGGTGGAAAACCACTTTATTCGATACTAGTTTAGAGAACTGAGTTCTAGGCCCAACTCAACTGTTGATTTTAGAAAATCAGATAATCTCCATGCCTCAGTTTCCTTGTCTGTCAGGTGGGGCTACTAATATTTTCCCCTTTTAAGGTTCCTATATATATAAGGGAAGGTGTAGGTGAAGACATACTTGGAAAGAGTAAAAGCCTGATGTAAATATAAGATCTAATTATGGTTATGATTAATAATATACATAGGATGGATAATAATATGATAGTCCAAACCTCCTAGATCATGCAAGTGTCTTTAATGAGCTCCTAGAATTGCTCCGGGGCATGAACGCTCCTCCCCTGGGGCACGCCACCCCAACTATGAGCCCTCACCAGGGAGGGCTGAACCCCAGGCAGACAGTAGCAGCTGGGTGTCCTGATAGAACCTTCCCCCTCCTGGGTAGAATGGCCACACGTGTGAATACAGCTCGAATCCCCAGCCCTGAGCTCCCTCCGTAAGTGAACTGCTGCCTTGAGCACAGGCCCAGCATTGGCAGAGGAAACCTATCTGCTTGAGGCCAGAGCCCCAAGTGGATGTCCCATGACTGTGTTCATTGTGTCTCATCGTGGTGTTTTCAACCTGCCTCCACAACATCTTCCTTTCTCTTCCCATTGGTGCCTTCATCGAAGGAGTTTCCTCCGATTCTGAATACTTGTCTCTGTAGTAAGTATAGAGAGGCTGTTTACTAACTCACTCCAATATGTGCAATGGGGGAGGGAGGACGTTTACAAAGGAAATATGTTGCTCCTCAGTTTTTTCTTTTGCTGCTCACAACCCTGCCTTCGGGAGGTTTCCTGACCATAAAAGTCATCACCAATTCCACATGTGCTGTGCGTGGTTTAGGCATCCCTCTAGGATAGACACACATAGGTCATACCCGTGCACTAACACACTCCCGCACTTGCATGGGACACTCCACCCACAGTGAACGGGCCTTGGGCCAGCTGCTGGACGCCCCCTTTGGCGGAGGGCTTGTGGCCCTCGGGAGCACATTTGCACCCCCCCCCCTTCCTACTGCATGGGCCCCTCTAAGGAGCCCATGACCTCTTCTAGGGAGAGCCTGAACGGCCTTGGGGACCAACTGCCTTATCTGCATGCAGAGAGCACCCGGCCTGACTGCAGTCTGCAGCATCCCTGCACCAACTGCAGGAAGGCGAGCCCACTGGAGAGGAGGCTGGTGGCAGGAGTGGGACAAGGGGTGGCAATTCCATTTGCTCAAGGGGCTCTTGGGAGCCCCTTGGAGTGACCTCTGCTACTCAGTGGGACAGAGCGGGAGAGGAGAGGGGTGTGAGGGGTGGGATCACTGCTTTCCCACTGCCTGACGTCGTTCCCACTGCAGCAGGATTCCTGCTTCTCTCTGGCCCAAATCTATGCTCCATGGAGAGGCACACTCTAGTTGAGATGTTAGAAAAGAATCTTCCTGTAACACAGGCAGAGCTGGGGAGCGTGGACCTCCTTGGTGCCTTCCCCGTGTGAAGAGGCACCAGTTGGAGCTGTCTGGGTGACCGGTGTGAAGTGGGGCTGGGTGGCCTTGGCCAGGCTGCCCATTGGCTTGCCCAGCTCCGCAGAACAACAGGGCTGACCCCCCGAGTAGCATCTTCACTTTGACATGTAGCTCACCCATTAGATCCGGAATGACTTTTACACCATTGGTCCCCATGCTCTCAAAATCCTCTTGTGCTAATTCACCTCAATGTCACTCCTCATCTGTCTCCCTGACTCCTACCCCCTCAGCCTCTCTGAAGGAGTCCTTCTAGTCCTGTTCCTTCACATCTGGCCGTCTCTGTCATCACCTTCTCTGTTGACTGGCTCCTGGCTGTCCCTGTCCCTGCTGACTCAATCCCCCCATGGGCCCCTCAGGAGCATTGGTTGTGCCTGCAAAGAAATAGCCCTGCATTCAACATCAGAAGATCAGCTGCGTCACTTACTAATTTAGCCACATCTCGAATAAGTTGCATAAAAACACTGCAGGATGGGGGACTAACGTGAATCCTTGCCTTTCCTAACTTATAGCATTGTTATCAGGATAAAGTAAGTTCATAAATATAAATGGACCTTGTAATGCGCTTTCATAAATGAGTTCTCATTATGTACTGTGTTCTCAGGATTGTGAGAGATACTACGCTGCTTGCTGTTTTAAGCCACTAAGTTCTGGTGTGGTTTGTTACGCAGCAGTAGATAGCTATTAAATCATAGTGCCTAATGAGAACTGGTTTATGGAAGTTAGTCCTTCTGTGGGTTGACTGGGCTCAGCGGGTGGTTCTTCTGCTTCACTGATGTCAGCTGGGGCTGCAGTCATCTGGGTGCCTGACTAAGCTAGAACTTCCAACATGGTGCACTCACGTGTCAGGTGCCTTGTCAGGGACAGCTGGAAGGCTGGGCTCAGCTGGGACAGTGGAATGGCTGGGCCTCTTTCTCTGTCTCTCTGTCTGTCTGTCTGTCTCTCCATATAACTGTAGGTCCTCTCCATGTGGCCTCTCCATCTGTGTTTCCAACAAGGTAGTTGGACTTTACACATGGTGCCTCAAGGCTCCCCAAACTACAGAAGCAGAAGCTGCTGGGCCTTCTTTATTCTTCGGCCTCCGGCTGGCTCAGTGGCACTTCCTCTGCATTCTGTTGGTTTCTCCAAGCCACAGGGCAGCCCAGATTCAGTGTGGGAGGGCACCACAGTCAAGTGTAAAATTCATATATTGGTGGTAGGTTTAGAGAAGGGCAAAATCGTTGTCAAATGTCAAGGGAGGCTGGAACCAGACCTTGGGGAGATATATGCTTGGACTGGCAGATAGGAGTAGAGTGGGCTGTCCAGGGAGTGGGCATTTCTGGAAGGGGACATCGGAGGACTGAGAGACAAGTGTTTGGATGCTGAGGGATAGTGGGAAATCCAATCTGAGAGGTAGGTACCCAAACAAGCTCAGCATCTCCCTACCAAAGCACCTCCCTTCCTTCTCCAGCCTCTTCAAGCCTTTCAGCTCTTCCCAAGCCACAAGGGTGTGGCTATGGACCCAGGCTGCCAAGCCCAGTCTTGCTCCAAATCCACTCTCCCTATTCCCCTCTGCTTCCTGGCCACCATCCTTGGATAGAGCCCCCGATTAGCCAGGCTCTACCCCATTCCACCCACCCTACACCTGTCTCCTACTCCCAGAGCTCAAAGTGCCCCATCTAGGAGAGAAAGCCAGTGGTTCGTCTTAGGAGATGCTAGAAGGTGAGTTCGCTTCTGCCGCAGCTCCTGGAGCCCTTCAAATAGCCGAAGACCCAGGTAGTTGTGACCTTAACTGTCGTGGGCTGTTAACAAAGGAGGGATCTGGGCTCTCAGAGCTGGTCCTTGATACTTTCCTTACTGGGGCCCAATAAGTTTTTATTTCTAGAGCCTTGACTGCTGCCCCTTCTCTTGGCCAACTGCACCCTACAGGGGTCTCTGTCCCCCCGAGCTGAGGGAGTGGTGACCTCGATCTGGAACCCGACTCCTCCAAGGCCCATGGCGCCTCCCAGCCCCACGTTCTGTTTGCTGGTGCTCTCCAGACGATTCATGGTGCCGGAGCTCTGTGAGATGCTGATGACATGCCCCGTGTGGACTTGTTTTCTGGCTGGGGAGAAGAATCCTGCTGTGCTCTCCTAGAGCAAGCCAGCAGGGGCTGCGGTTGCAGATGCAGCTGAAGGGGCGGGCGTGGGTGAAGGCCACTGCTGGGGCGAGGATGCCTATCACCACAGGGCAGGAAATGGTACCTGGACAGAATGTGGTGGGGTCCTCTGATCCATAGTTGTGTTCGTGGAGCTAGAAGGCAGGTAACAAAATCATCTGAGAGGGTGTGACTTGAGAAACACGTCCTCACGGGTCATCCAAGTGAGGGGCCATTGGAGGTACAAGAGCCCAGGTGGCCAAGAGTGGGAACAGGGGAATAGGTACAGGAGACAAAGGCCAGCATGCAGGGCTCCTGTTTGTTTACAAGGTTGGGTCCAGTTCAGCGTAGAAGGCTCAGGCTGGGACAGACAAGAAAGAAGATGAGGTATGGTGTTGGCTTGGTTAGAATAAAACCATTCACACATTCATTTGTTTGCTTATGCATTCAACCATTCATGGATTCCACAACCATTTTTTGAGTACCTCCTATAAGCTAGTCACCTAGATAATTAAACACAGTCCTGTCTGATTTATTTCAGTTTTGAGGGGAGAGATAGGCATAAAAAAGAAGTGATTGTGGGGCTTCCCTGGTGGCGCAGTGGTTGGGGGTCCGCCTGCCGATGCAGGGGGCGCGGCTTCGTGCCCCGGTCCGGGAGGATCCCACGTCCCGCGGAGCGGCTGGGCCCATGAGCCGTGGCCGCTGGGCCTG